GGGGGGGGGGGGCGACTTCTCTTGGTTATAGTAACTGGTAGGGCCCAATCATGGATTTTCAGCTTATTAAACCAATAGCAGAATTCCATGTTAAGATTAATCTCTTCTATTTATTTAATACTTTCCAGTTTTCAAATAGCATTCATATTAATAGTCTGATTTGATTCTCATGAGATCTTGGGAAGCATATTAATATTTCTCCTTCATATCTGTGGGATCCTTTTTGGTTTGCAAATAATGCTCCTACTTATAGTCTAGGTAGATCCACCTGAGGATCCTGGAAACCGGCAAATTAGTGTTAGACTCATTCCCATCAAGATTCAGCTGCAGCCTAGAGTTACATGGCTAATGAGCAGTGGAAATGGAAATGGGGCTGAAGCCCCCGACATGTGACAGCTCCCCAAGGCCACCTTTTACAGGACTCGCTGTGCTTGCAGGGAGGGGGCATTCTGTGTGGCTGTCAGGTACAGCTTTGTTTAGCTTAGGGCACTTGGGGACGTACTCCTTCCACTCCCTTTGTCTTTCAGGGCTGTTGTGGGTCACAGTGTCCTTTGTCTGGTAAATCAATGAGAAAGATATCCAGAATTGGCCAGACCGAGTTGCGGAGGCCCCAGTGTACAGGCAGGAAATGTGACATTCATGTTATGAAACTGTGGGACACTGGCTGCTGGTAGGAGCCCAGCCTGGGCAGCAGGTCCATTTGGGCTTCTTAGTGGACACATTGTCTGCATGTGGATTCAAGATGCAAATTTATAGATTATGTCCTTGAACTTGGGTGGCCTTAGGGTTTCCCTTGTGTTCAAAGGAAGACCCGGGAAACTTCCAGTTCACACGGGTCATGTTTCCCTTGTAACTGAGACTTAAAAAGCAAGTCTGAACCTATAGAATCAGCTCATAATAGACTCATGGGAGGCCATGCAGCTGCCCACTGCTCCGCCAGGGTCTGTGGGCTCAGTTGGGAGTGGGGTTCCCATGGGGAAGGAGTCTAGCTTGAGTGAATCCTGTGCTCTCTGTGGCTCAGCAGTTGCTGACAGGCTGTGAGTACCTTGTCTTCCCCTGGGGGAGAGATGGCGGGGGGCCTTCACTGAGAGCCCAGGTCTTGAGCCATGTGGTCCTGTGCATCTCACAGAGCAGTGCCTGTCCTCTGCTTGGGAGGAGAGCCTGCAGTGGCCCCCTGCAGGCTGTTCTGCTCCCTCCTGACCCACAGGACATCCCTGAAGCACATGGTGGGGAGCAGCTTGCCCTGAGCTGGGAAGGTGGCCTGAGGCTTGGATGAGGGGAGGCGAGGGCTTTCTGAGGCCACCCATGTCTCCTTCTAGGACCATCCTCCCCAAGATGATGCTCTGGAGCTGGGGAGGCATGTGCTGGGGGCCCCTTTGTGAGCTCTTGTCTGTGGGGTTTACCTGCTAAAAGTGGGGTCTTCTCTGGGGTGACTCCACAGTGTGCACCTCCAGGCCAGCTGGAGCGGGGACCCTGGCATTTAACCACTCCCAGCACGTGCTGGTTCTCTGGCTGAGGAGGCCTCTGTGGAGCTGTTGGCCCCCTTTGGGCTATTTTGTGCCTTGATAGACCTTCAGGCTGAGAGACCCCACGGACTCCCCTGCCTTACTGATGAGACTGTCAGCGGTGGGAGGCTAAGTGGGTGGGAGGCCAGGGACTTGTCCCGGGTCGCACAGCTCAGTGGTGGCAGATCCTGGACCCGCGGGCTCGCCTCCGGACCTGCCCTTGTCATTCTTAATGACTCTCGGGGTCAGGGAAGCGTTGTGGCTGCTTCCTTCCCCAGCAGCTGCTGTGGCTGTGGCAGCGACCCACGGGGATCCTTATAATAATGACTTTTAAATGGAAGCTTAATTTACTAGTTGGATACATTAAAAGCAGAATAGAGCAGTAAACAAACAAAAAACCCCAAAACAAGGAAGCGAGGAGATATCCTTTCTTAAGGAATCTTTGTTCTCTGCCCAGAGCAGGCTGTTGGCTGCTCTGGACGAAACTGCTCCTCGTGTCTCCAGCGGGGCAGCCGCGGGAGGGACCAGCTGGTGGCAGAGGTGCAGCCCTGGGTGCGCAGCTTCCTCTCCATCACGCCGCTAACGAAGCTGGCTGAGTGTTCCCAGTCGGGCGGTTATCAGGGGCTCCCTGCGTTCTCAGTGGAAAGAATGTCTTAAGCTCGTTAGTTGCTTTTTTTTTTTTTTGCACAATTTAAGTCCCATCTCACTTTCAAATGCACAGGTCTGTATTGTATGTCAACCATACTTTAATTTAAAAACACAGATGCACTGGCCTGTTTTGTTCTTCTGCTCCCCGGGGTCCTCGTGCAGGCTCCCGACAGCTGCCCGCCAACAGGAGAGGAGATCCACGCAGAACATGTCTCTCCTGACCCATCCCTAGTCCCTGGTCCCAGGCGGCTCAGATCACGGGCTTGTGGCTTGAATTCTTAGTCAGCTTTTTGTTCAGCTCCTTAGTAAAATGCACGAGAGGCCAGCGTTACCCGTTTCCTCAGTGTTCCAGTTGACGTTACGATATTCACTGGCTACTGAGACTCCGGTGACCAGAGCCGGTGTCCTGATGGGGTGGTGATGTGAGTCGCAGTGAGCCATGGACACTGGAGAGGGGTTGGGTCCTTGCAGACCCGCCCACAGCATTGGGTCCGCTTGGGGCGTGGGCACCCAGAGGTGTCCGAGCTCCTCTCCCCGGTGGATAATGAGGGGCTTGGAGGTGTCTCCTCTTCCTCGCGAGTCTTACGAGGATGATGAAAGCTGCCCTTGTCCTGCCTCTGTCCACTGGGACTGTTTTGTAGGAAGTGTTTTCTAACCCTCTGTTGCAGTATTTATAACGCTTCGCTGGGGGAGGTAACGTGCAGGACGGCTTTGCAAAATTCCCGGTTACGCAATGAATAGTGGGTTGGTTCTAAAGGTATGGTTTTCCCCCCCCAGGTGATGTTCGGAACGATATCTATGTAACATTAGTTCAAGGAGACTTTGATAAAGGAAGCAAGACCACCGCAAAGAACGTAGAGGTTACAGTGTCTGTTTACGACGAAGACGGCAAGCGACTGGAGGTATTCATTGCTGCCAAGTGTAGCCCGGGGCGTCTGAGTGTTACTTCCCAGGCCTTCACCTCTGCTCTGCTGCAGGCGGGAGGGACCTGCTCCCGGCTCCGGGGCAGGGCCTTTGCTGTTTTTTCCCCTCTCCTGCTTGTCTAGAGGTTGGTTTCCGTGGGTCCTGCCTGGCAGCTGGCCTGTCCCAGAAGTTCAGATGCCCTTGTTAGCTCCATCTGAGACACGAGGGAACCGAGGCCCAGGGAAATCAATCAACTTGTTCAGGCTCAGAGCGCTAGTGAGAGGTGGAACTCGGGGTTCACCTTGGACTTCAGACCTTGTGTTCTACTGGGTGGTGGTTACCAAGACCTCTTCCCGAGTGGTCACAGCAGCCTGCAGGACTCGGTGTCCTGGGACGTGCTCAGAGGCTGTGGCCTCCTCTGATGACCGGAGGCTGAGCCAAAGCAGGTGTCTCTGCCACTGTCACTCTCGCTCTGTGGACCATGGCTGAGGCTCAGCTCTGCCAGGAGGTGGGGGCACGTCCTTTCTCTCTGGGTGGCTCTGTTCACTGTCCCTCTGGGCAGTGCTGGCCTTTGCCACTTGGGCTCACCCGGTATTGCTCCCATAGTAGTCGAGGAATCAGTATTCACGGCTGAGAATGGACGGGAGGGAGTGTTACCATTTCCTAAATTTTGTCTGTAGCCCTTTATTTGGGACCTACTGAGTGAATCAGGCAACTTCCTGCAGACCCTACTGTTGACGCCATCACGGGTGAGGGTGAGACACTTGGAGGACAGCACATACCCACGTGGCATGGCTGTCAAGCTCTTACATGTCTGGGAGGGGGTTTGGTGCTGGCTGCTGGCATCAGAAAGATGTATCCCTCCATCGCTGGGGGCCCGTTCCATTTGCGGTGGGTTTTTGGCATTCCTAGAGTGCTCTCTAGCTCATCTCATGGAGGTGGGTGGTGGGGGGATGTATACGGGGTCAAGGAGTCAAGCTCTGCGAGATCTGATGAGACCTCCTTTTATTTCTCTTAAAGTGTGTGATTTTCCCGGGTGCCGGCGATGAAGCAATTTCAGAGTACAAGTCCGTGATCTACTACCAGGTCAAGCAGCCGCGCTGGTTTGAGACTGTGAAGGTAACATTGACATGGTCACTTTATCTTCTGGGGTTCATGATGAAATGCTCACTTGTGGCCTTGGGGAGTGCCCACCTCCCACCCTACCTGGGGGCCACCCGCTCCTCAAGGGGCATCCTGAGTGGCACAGAACTTCCAGCAAAGTCCCTCCAGGTTGCTAAGGAACCATGCTGGCATTTCTTGGAATACATTTACTCTCATTTCGTTTTGGACATAAAAATAAGACTTTCATGGAGACAAGTGACAGAGTCTTTTAAAGACAGCTACTATTTGATTCTTCTGGGTCTGTTTAATTTGTGAAATGCTGTCTTTACACCAAATGGGCAAAAAAGAGAGATGACTCTATATAGAGGGTATTGCAGTGGGGACGGGTTCTGTCCCCCGGCGTTGCCCCACGCCTCACAGTGCACCGTGCTGACACCCACCATGGCCCGCACACCACTGGGTAGTGAAACCAGGCCAGCAGTTGGCTGCGGATACAGGTGTCAGATATGAGAATTAGGACATTCTTTGCTGAGAGGCAGCAGGCATTCGGTCTTTTCTCTTTCACTGTAAGTCACAACCAGAAAACTTTCATCTTGCCTCGGCGGGCAGGTCCCCGCCACTGCGAGGGAATCCAGAGGCCTCCGGCAGGGCTAATGAAGAGAATGGCAGTTTTTAAACATAGAATCTCACAGTGAGGATTAGAGCGCTTAGAAAACCTCGGGCCATCTCACAGAGTTGGCTCGGCATCCTTGACAATATTGTCTTGTTTAGATTTTCAAAAGACATCTGCCTCTGGGAAAACCACACGGGGGATTAGGTATTCCTCCACTGTGGCGCAGAGAGGTGGGCAGCTGTGCAGGGCTGCTGCCCTGGGATAGCACCAGATGTCACCAGAGGAGATGTCACCAGAGGTGCCTAAACTTCCCTTTTCAATTCTCCAGGTGGCCATTCCCATCGAGGACGTCAACCGCAGTCACCTACGCTTCACCTTCCGCCACCGATCCTCGCAGGACTGTGAGTAATCACATTCTTATGCCACGTTTGTCAGCGGAAAACTGGGGCAAAGACTCAGTAGGCCACCCTTGTTCTAGATTGTTCTGGATAGTTCTGGAACTTGGTTCCCGAAGCACAGGGAGGTCTTGGCTCTTCAGCTCACGTCTTTGGAAATGTTATCTACTCCTTCATTGAGCCCATCCCCGGAGATCTTTTCTTCTCAAATTTTTCTGATGAGGTGCTGCTACTTGCTGGCCTTTTGACTTCCTCTCTTCCATTCGGGCTTGTAAGGCTGTTCCACCCATCAGAAAATCACTGAGGTAGAGGGAGATTTCAAACCTTGGCTCTTACTGCTCTGGCTGTTGGCCTTGTACACCTGGAGGCCTTTCAGGGAGGCCCCTGGGTGTCTGGAGCATGGGCGGAGCTTCTCTCATGGGAGATGTTGGAGCAGCTTGGACTCAGGGGCCAAGACTTTGGGAGGAAAGACTGGTGTTTAAATCATTCACCTTCCAAAAAAATTTGTTACCGATGACCACAGTTCACTGCACTCCTCCTGTGCTCCTGGCACAGCGTTTTACTCTGTCGCATGGTTAATCCTCGCAGCAATCCCATGTGGCATCCATGTGATCAAGACTTTCCCACATGACAGATGAGAAAGCCGAGGCTCAAAGATCCCACGGCAGGGGCCCAAAGTCACCTCATTCGTCAGGGAAGAGCTCTGGTTCAGAACCCAGCCCGTGTGCCTGAGCATAGTGCTCCCATGCCTGTGGGGTGCGGCGAGGCCACTTTCATCCCTTGGTCTTTGTGTAGCACCTGCTGTATACGCAGCTCTGGAGAGGGCTCTCCTCTTGCAGAGCTGAGATTTGAGTCGAGGACTGAGGTCAGCTTGTAAGAACCAAGTAGAGAAGGGCAGCCTTCATATACATGGGAAATGCCGAGGCATGGGGTGAGCAGAGTGGGGTATGTGTGTGGGGATACTTTGGGGTCAGGTGTGTCCTGAGCCAAGGCGGTGGTGAGCTGGCGCCCTGTAGGAGTGGAGTAGGGGTGGGAGCTGGCCGGTGCACGGCTGAGTGCTCTGCAGGGGAGCAGGTAGGGAGGGGCTGGGGGACAGGGACAATGTTCTAGAACCCGCAGAGGTCTTGTCTCAGAATTTGAGCACGCTCCCCCTCATAACAAGCTCATTCTTTCTAATTAACAAATCACACTAGGGCAAAGGGGTATCTTCTGTAGCATTTTAATTTTCAAAATCCTTGTTTTTCTTGTCAGTTTTAAGTACTCATTATAGACAAGATGCTATCACCCGTCGTAGCATGACACATTTGTATAATTAATGAAGTCTCCCCAGCCGCAGCTTGTGGGGGTTCGGAAACGTGTTGAGCATCCAAAGCGTTGTGCTGACGAAATCCCGAGCTGTCAGCTGCAGGAATGATGGTGGCCCCCGGGGCCTCTCCTGTGGCCCTGTCTGCAGGCACTGTGGGTCAGAAGTGGAAAAACACTGAGGCCACATTGCACATTCCCCCTCCTATCAAAATGTGAGCTGCTTTCCCCCTAAAGGGAGCGAGTGATAGGATTTTCTTAGTCTGCGATCTGCCCTAGGGGTTGGAAAGTTTGTTGCTGATGTAACTGTGTAACACTCTCCAGCAACTTCTTAGCAATTCCAGAGGCATCAGCTCATGTTTTCCAGGGGCTCCAGCAGGTGTGTGGCTTTGGGGCCTGGCCTGCCAGGAGCAGATGTCCCCTCTTTGTAGGGGAGGTCTGGTTGGGTGGGGCAGCCCTGCCTGCTCCTGCAGCAAGTGGCCTCCTGTGGCCCCTGATGCGTTGTAAATTTGTATCTACCTAGTAACAGCTGCTAATGAGCATGTAATAAGTGCAGTCCATTCCCTTGCTGGGAAGATAAACAATGTTACTAAGAAAAACATTCTTATTTTGTGCTACTTGATGGCAGGCTCAGGGGAAGCCCTCAGCTGATGGGTGTAGTCATGTGTCCTTCCCAATCACAGCTGCTTTCACAGAGACATGCTTTATTTTTTTTGTATCAGCCCAAACTTAGAGCAATCTGTTCTTTTCACCTGAACATTAATATATTTCATGTTTTCTAGTGCCCTTTTACAGAGTCCTTTTTTTGATTCCTAGGGTGCATCTTTTTTACTTTATCCCTTCCTTTAGTTTTGGTTAGTCAACCAATTATTCATTCATCTAATTAGCATTTATTGAGCGCCTACTATGTGCCAGATATTGATGGACACCAGAATGCAAAGACTAATGAGATGTGTTCTCTCAGGCAGTGGCAGCTTAGCCCCTGACTCGAGGTGGGTGGGCATGTGCTCCTCTCCTCTTTGACCTCTGACCTTTCATTTCTAAAAAGAGACTCTGGGATACATGACTTTAAAGATATTTTCTAGCTCTGAAGCTCAGTGTTGCCATGTTACACTCAGATTGCACCTTGAGGAAGTCACCTGAATCCCTTTCTTCAGTCCAGACTCCTTATCTGTCCCTTCTGACCTGGCTCCTGCCTAGCTTGGAGCCCTCACTGTCCACTACTCACCCATCACACTATCCCCAGGCTAGCCAAACCCAGTCCCACTTTAGGACCTCTGCCCTTGGTCATTGCTCACTGCAGAGCAGGTGACACCTCAGCAGAAACTCGAATGAAGTGAGTCTCATGTGCAGACACCTGGTGGGGGAACCTTCTTGCCAGAGAGAACAGAATTTCAACCCAGGTCCTTAGTTTTCCTGTGACTTACATTGGTGCTCGGTGCGAGGTAAGAATCTGTGTATTTTATTTTTCATACTGATAGCCTCTCAGTGAAGGGCTGCCCCTCTGGCTGTTCTTGACGCTGGCCTTGTGTTTCTAGAGCCTGTCCGTTCCCACTGATGTGTGTTTTCCTGTGTTAAGAACACATGGTCTCATTAATATCACTTTACAGTTACTCCTGGTTTCCAGTATTCCTGGCTCTTCCTCCAAATCATCCTGGCACCCTTGGCCCTTTACTCTCGAATAAGTTTTCAAGTTCCCCCAGCAAGCTCTCCCCGAAGATTCTGGGTGGAATTGCTTTGGATTTATCGGTCGATCTGAGCACTGCCGATCCCTTCAGGATGAGTCTTCCCACCAGTGCACCTTGTCGATCTCTCCACTTACTCATGTTTCCTTTCAACCTGTCAGTGCAGTTTTGTCGTTTTCTTCATAAAGGTGGCCCTCGTAGCATCTCCTGATGTTGCGTTGCCATGCCAGCAGTTGAAGATGGTTATTGATTTCTTTGCAGCTAAGGATAAGTCGGAGAAAATATTCGCACTGGCGTTTGTGAAGCTGATGAGATACGACGGGACCACGCTGAGGGACGGGGAGCACGACCTCATTGTCTATAAGGTAGACCTTGCGACGGGGGCAGGACGGTTGAGGCTCCCTGTTTCCCTCCTCTCTGGGCCACCTGGCCTGAGCCGACGGCCTCACCTTGGGGAGAAAGCTGCTCCACGGGAACATTGAATTACGCAAATGCATACGTCCAGTGACCAGCCTTCTCGCTGCTCCAAAAAAGAGAAGACGGTATACAGTAGCCCGTTAGGTGCTGTGCAAAGAAATGCTCCGTTAACATGAGTTAATCTGCAGGAATGAGAGAAATCATCAGAATAAACAGTTTAGCAGATGCTAAAGAGTAAATATCAGGGTGGTTAAAAGGATTGGGGGTAATGAGGGATAGAAAAGAAATATCTTGGGCTGCTGACTGCAGTGTCATTCAACCCACAGGCTGAAGCAAAGAAGCTGGAAGACGCGGCCACGTACCTGAGCCTGCCGTCCACGAAAGCCGAGCTGGAGGAGAAGGGCCACTCGGCCACGGGCAAGAGCATGCAGAGCCTGGGGAGCTGCACCATCAGCAAAGACTCCTTCCAGATCTCCACCCTCGTCTGCTCCACGAAACTCACCCAGAACGGTGAGTTCGGGGCAGATCTGTTTTCACCCCAGGAGATTTTCTCCTTCTGCCTGACCCTTTTCATGCTTTCGGTTGCATTTTCCCTCTTTGATTATTTATTATTATTATTTTTAAATATATCTTTATTGATTTCAGACAGAGGAAAGGAGTGGGGAGAGAGAGTTAGAAACATCAATGATGAGAGAGTCATTGATCGAGCCCACAACCTGGGCATGTGCCCTGACCGGGAATCGAACCCTCATCGCCTGGGTCCCAGGTGGACGCTCAACCGCTGAGCCACGCCCGGCCGGGCGGGACTTTGATTATTAATGTCTGTTGCTGTCATGAATTATGTCCCTGGGGGTCGTCCATAAATCCTAGCAGTAGCCTCCGATTTGCCCGAGGGACAGTCATTGTTTGCACTTTAACAGGATAAACACAGGGCAAGAGTGACACCCTCATCGGGAAGCCACTGCGAGTGGTGGAAGGCACACTGGGTGTGGGGTGTGCACGCCCTTTCCACACGTCCCTCTCTCTCCCTGCTGTGCGGGGCTGGGCTCTCCGAGCCCTGCTTTCTCACCCCTCATCTCACGAGTGAACTGTGAGCGGGAGGGGGGATGTCACTCAAAGGCACGGTGGTCACTTGGATACATATCTCTAATGTTGCTCTAGAAACATTAGTTCACCTGAAACATTATGAGTTACCCTGGCTTGTGGCCATGCGGTAATCTCTGTAAGACAGTGAAAACCCTTTCCCGGGGCGCTGGGTTCTGTGCAAGCACAGGGAGGGGAGGGAATACACAGGGAGCTGCAGGGTCAGTGCCCACAAAGCATGCGGCCAGTGAGGTTGGGGCTGGTTTGGGACGAGGTTCCAGAAAGGATGCCCCGTAGATCAAATGTCACTCTCTGGATGTGGTCCAGATAGTCCCCTAGCCTGACGGCTGCACCCAGGGCCTCACCTAACTCAAGGCAATTGCAGCCTGTCCGGTGAGTCACCCCCATCCATGTGGCCCTGTAGCTCCTCAGTAGGAGCTGACCGTTGAGCCTCTGTGTGTTTCCATTTTCACTGCGTAGGAAACCACCGTTTCATATGTGGGTCATATTCTGAAAGCATATTTGGATCTTGAATATATTTTCCCCACCAAATAGCAGTGAGATTGTGAGACCCACCCACGGAATCCTTCTTAACCCACATGTTCCCAGAGGNTGATTATTAATGTCTGTTGCTGTCATGAATTATGTCCCTGGGGGTCGTCCATAAATCCTAGCAGTAGCCTCCGATTTGCCCGAGGGACAGTCATTGTTTGCACTTTAACAGGATAAACACAGGGCAAGAGTGACACCCTCATCGGGAAGCCACTGCGAGTGGTGGAAGGCACACTGGGTGTGGGGTGTGCACGCCCTTTCCACACGTCCCTCTCTCTCCCTGCTGTGCGGGGCTGGGCTCTCCGAGCCCTGCTTTCTCACCCCTCATCTCACGAGTGAACTGTGAGCGGGAGGGGGGATGTCACTCAAAGGCACGGTGGTCACTTGGATACATATCTCTAATGTTGCTCTAGAAACATTAGTTCACCTGAAACATTATGAGTTACCCTGGCTTGTGGCCATGCGGTAATCTCTGTAAGACAGTGAAAACCCTTTCCCGGGGCGCTGGGTTCTGTGCAAGCACAGGGAGGGGAGGGAATACACAGGGAGCTGCAGGGTCAGTGCCCACAAAGCATGCGGCCAGTGAGGTTGGGGCTGGTTTGGGACGAGGTTCCAGAAAGGATGCCCCGTAGATCAAATGTCACTCTCTGGATGTGGTCCAGATAGTCCCCTAGCCTGACGGCTGCACCCAGGGCCTCACCTAACTCAAGGCAATTGCAGCCTGTCCGGTGAGTCACCCCCATCCATGTGGCCCTGTAGCTCCTCAGTAGGAGCTGACCGTTGAGCCTCTGTGTGTTTCCATTTTCACTGCGTAGGAAACCACCGTTTCATATGTGGGTCATATTCTGAAAGCATATTTGGATCTTGAATATATTTTCCCCACCAAATAGCAGTGAGATTGTGAGACCCACCCACGGAATCCTTCTTAACCCACATGTTCCCAGAGGAGAATGCTGTGAGCTAGGAAATCCCCCAGGTACTACAGTCATAGAAACCTCCCAGAGGCACATTTCCCTCACCTCTGAGCTTCTTGAATCTCACCGGCCCGGCCCCCGTGGTCATTCCCTCCCTGGACCTGGGGAAGGGAGGCACCCTAGTCTCCCAGTAGCTGTTGCCGGGCAACAAGGAAATTCCAATGTGATGCCGCTCACTGAGAGGCAGGGGGGCACCTTTTGGCTTTTATTTAACCCCTTTGGGGATGGTGGTATGTCAGGTGGGTACAAGACAGGGTTGCCCCAGCATCGACTGTGGACGCTCAGGTCTTCATTTGAGAGTCATTTTTCTGATGTTTCCTGGGAAGTTCCATTTCTTAGGGAGAAGCCGTGGCTGAATTGTTCATCGAGGTTTGTGTTGCACTTTGCTGTTCTCAGAAGTGTGCTGGGTGCTGCGGGGGATATAAAGAGAAGTGTAGGATGAGGCTCCTCTCCTCAGTTAGCTCCTTGTGTAGTCGGAGAAGTCGGGAAACAGAGAACTGTTAAGGGCCTGGCTGCGGTGGCTCCCAGGGAATGAGGCCTGGACAGGGGAGCCAGGTCTGACCTGGGGGGGGTGGCGGGGCAAGCTCCCTTTTCTGCAAACACCCCCTCCCACCCCCTCAGACATGTTCTTCCACTGTAATTTATCCAGCTGTACCTTTTCCCAAGTGTCCAGGGCAGAGGTGACCTCAGCCCCCCTCCTATCCACAGTCCTGCTGATGTTGTAGGTATGGGATCCGCACTATTAACTATCCACTGAAAACACAGGTTGATTTTCCTGTTTGAAAGCGTGAAGGGGACCCGCAGGAGGCGAGCACAGAGGCGGCAGCCCTGCCTCGGAACTGACTGGCCTTCTGTTTCAGTGGACCTGCTGGGGCTCCTGAAATGGCGATCCAACACCAACCTGCTGCAGCAGAACCTGAGGCAGCTCATGAAGGTGGATGGCGGCGAGGTGGTCAAGGTGAGGCGGGCGGGGCCGGGGCCGGGGCCAGGGCTGGGCA